AGCAAAGCCTTGAAGCAGTAATAACTGCACTAAGCACAAAACCTGAAATTTAAAATATCAATTAGCATCACTGAACCACACTTGAAAAAGCCTCCAGGAATAGCAGTCCAGGATGGGGAAGCCCAAACATTGCCACAGCTACTCACTGGAATAAGGAAAAGCAGTGAAATGAGTGGGGTTTTTAAGTCCACAGTGAGGAAACCCCACAGCACCATCTCCAAAGAGAAAATCAACTTCTTTTGCTTGACTCTCACATCAAGGATACCCAGAGAAAGCACAGAGAAAACAAGTGTATTTGTGAAAAGAAAGGTAAATAGTTTTTCATTTTTGCATCTTACTGAACACCTACAGGCACCACTTTCCCACCATGGAAAGGGTTGGAAACCTTTCGAACTGCCACCTAAAACAAATTCCAAAATACCTGAAAACTGCATGCGTGTGTTTGAGAGACTGTTGTGAAAATCTGCTACCAGATAGGAGCAGTTCTGCTGGTTTCTGGAAAGTTTAGCCCTTCTTTCTTCACCCCGAAGAATTTTAAACAAGTTCAGATGAGGGGTAAGAGAAGCCATGAAAAAAAAAGAAAAAAAAGAGGTGTTGGTAGTTCCTTATGTAAACAAACAATTTTATTAAGTGACTTGCAATAAAGCAGCTGCTCAGCATTTGCTCTGTGTCATCCCCACTTGCAAAGGGCTGAGATTTGGCTCCACAGACAGGCTTCAAAAAAAAAAAAAAAAAAAAAAGGCAAAGACTGAGAGGAGAAGGTTGTGAATCATCAGACTGGAGATGTTGTGCACCCATTCCTTGACTCTGCAGTGTTCAGCTACAATGCCTGCACCTCTACAGGTGGAGTTTCACTTCATTGCTCCTAATGGGACTTTTAAAAAAATTGTTTCCTTGAATCACACTACAGAAGAGAAGAACAAGAACTCAGGAAAGGTGCCTTTTAGAAACATAAGGGAATACTCATTTGTGTATGAGACATGCAAAGCATTAAATCAGATCCCATCATCATCTCCAGTAAATGAGAATCATCACAACTATCATTCTGAGAAACCAGCACAAGGTGCTTCTGCACTTCCATGCATGTCCCAGTATGTTAATAATTTAGTCCAAAATCTCTGAGACTCAAGATTGACAAACTTTACACATCTATGTAGTTGTAAACTTATTACTCTCCATCCCTGGAAGCGTCCAGGACCAGGCTGGATGGGACTTGGAGCAACCTGGGCTAGTGGAAGGTGTCCCTGCCCATGGCAAGGGGTAAAACAAGATGATCTTTAAGGTCCCTTCCAACCCAAACCATCCTGTGATGACTCCAGAAGGGAAGTGGTTCAGTGACAAATGAGCTGGTGTCGTGGTTGTAATCTTCAGTAAAATGGAAAATATTTCCCTACAGCCAAATAAATTAAAAATATGAAAGAATCTGATTAGCAGAGGCAAAATAAACATATTTAATAAATAAGCATCCAATTCCACAGAGCAAGACATAGCAGTTGATGTTGGGAGCTGTTCTGGATAACAACATTGTATAAAGTCAGCAATAAAACTTCTCCAGCAACAAATGGGTACAGATTTTTTTTCTTATTTTTCTGCTTTACTCCTGCTCAGCTTGTACTGTGACAAATTATATACCTCTTTATTTCCTACTCCTCTGCTTAATACAAGAGATAAGAACTGCAGAGATTGAGCCTATTTGCAACCCACTCTGCTGACACATTTTATGCAACCAAACCACAGGGATTAGAGAAACAACCTTTCCCCCCAAGTAATTACAGAGAAGCTTTTTAAGAAAACTTTGTTCTTGTAGAAATGCCATTTAAAGGACATTCTAGAAAAACCCTTGGAGCACTTCTTAAGAGTGACTTTTGCTATTAGGCAATGCCTGTGACATGCACTGCAGAAGTAAATAGGAATTTAATATCTCCAAGTCACCACCAACAGTCGGGAGCGTTCGAGCAACTCCTTTGCAAAAAGATTTGGGTTTGACAGATATTTCTACCATAAACTTCAGAAGAGGAAAAAAAAAAAGCCTTCCATAAACTCTGTAAACTCTCTTCTGTATTCAAACTGTGGCAACACAGTTTTTTCTTGAAGGGAAAGGTACTTTTAGAAATGTGGATTTTACTATTCCACACAATGTCTCAAATCACTTTCATTCTGCATCGGTGTGGATACGTTTGAAACTGCAATTGCACTGTTTGCTGTCACACCACTGGAAAAATAATGATGGTAATAATAAAATAATCCCACTAAAATGTCTGCCACTTCCCTTTCCTTGTGCTTGCAGCTCACCAGCTCCTCAAGGTATAATCCTGTGGCCATTTCGGAATCAAAGTGCATTCACATCAAAGTAGTTTATGAGAAATCACTGATGCACCTACTGGGTTCTGAGGTGCAATTCCACAAGGCACTGTTTCTATTGAAGATGCTGAACTATATTTTCACCCATCTCATGCAAGACAAGGTTGTTTTCCCAAGATTTACTGCGTCTGCCTTAGCTTGTAGTTACTTAATTTCATTCTGACAATAGTCAAAGAAATTCAGCAAAATAAAGCATTTTTACATAAGATATTAAATCCTATGAACTCATCTTAATGGCAAGAGATTGTTCAAAGGACTAATTTTTGCAGCAGTGGATAAAAAAAGAGCCATAAGGAAACCATCCATTTCTGCCACAATAAATACCACTGCTTCTTATCTGTTACTTACATACATATCCTATATAAGCAAACACATGAAAAAAAAACCTTAGTATTGTCCAGAAACATTGGTGCTAAATTAATGGCTTGGCTTCCAGAAAGCCACCCCTGAAGGATCAGCAGTTCCTCCATCCTGGGCACGTGAGGGTGTTCCCAAGAGCCACGTGCACCAACACACCCCTGGTCAGGAATGCACAGAGAGCAGACCCAGAAGTTTGGCACCAGAGCTGAAATGTAAAAGAACCAACCAGGGAAAAAAGGCTGGGCTCAGACTAGGGCACCATATTTCTGTAAATACAATATTTTTAATCTTTAGGAGCACAAATCCACCCTGATCAATCTGCCAGCTTATGTTTCCATTTAGGCAAAAAAAACACACGTGGAAGCTAATTTTTATTTCTATTCCATTACAAAATAATTACCTATTAGAAGTACTAATTCCATCACTAATCTCAAAATTAACCCCAAATCCCTGCTATAAAACAGCCAAAAGAGCAGCAGTATAAATTTTTATTAAAGAGTAAGCTACCTCCAAAATGAAAACATTATCCATTTTAAATTGGGAGAGTTATATATGGTTACATATTAGAAATCTCTACCTTATTTTCCAACACCCTGAATCAAAAAAATTAAATGAAAGAAAGAAAGTATAGGAGAAACAGAGTGTCAAAGGACATGGAAGTGAACCTGGGACAACCACTCTACAACAGGAGTGCAAGTAGCTTGCAGCAGAAGACACATTGAAAACCAGGAATGGTATAAACCACTCAGTGTAGGGGAAACAGTAAATGAATTTTAACCTGCTGAACAGTCTCCAGGGCTCTTTGATGCCAGGAGCTGATCCACCCCTAGTTTTGGCCCAAGGATCCACTCACACAAAGCACAAGGGTCAGGATCGGTCTCTGCCAACACCGTCTTAATTCGCAGGCCCTAAAACTTCACTCCAACTCAGAGCTAAACCTAAGCTTAACTACAGCCAGGGAACATCTGAAATTAAAGTTCAAACCCTCCCCAGCACACTCACCCACTCCACAGATACTGCCTGGAGAGTGTTTATTCTGCACTGAGAGCACCCACATGGGGAATCCATCCCGAGCAGCCCGTGGACTGTAAAGTCAGACTGACTTTATTAACATAACTAAGTGCAAACTGACACTTTATTTGAAAGATGTGGAAGAAAATTAATGCAACTTCGTTATCAGCAAATCAGATGGTAAAATACTAAAAGATTAAGTGCAGTTGATAACAATTCAATCTCCCCAAAATTATAAATAATAGTCAGTGTAAAGAATTTAAAGATTAAAAGCTGGAATTTTTATTAATGTCTGTAGTGATTTAAGATAGTCTCTATTTATGCCAAATACCTCAGAGATTACAGAAATAAAGAAATACAGACTTCAGCTCTGTGACTTTTATTGAATAAAAGTATCTCCACTTGCCTCTCTCAGCCTAGATAAGGTACATTGTAATATTTAACTGAATAGTTTTAGCAAGCAACTCCTGGTTTGTTTCAGAATAATCTGTTTTCCCTGAAAATTATTTCCATAACTTTGAATTTAAACTGGATAAACACATGGAAATAATAGTCTGGATAATCAAAAATGGAAGCAGCACAACATGAGTTGATGTTGTCCTCCGTGTATCTGCTGTGTGTAAACCACTCCCCTGCTCCCAAAACATCAGTCTTGGGGCATCCTGATTCATTTTTTAATGTACAAGGTTGGCAAAAGAAGCTGTACCAAGTTAATTAATAAAAAGTGCCTCCTATTTGCTGCAGACACTTCTCCAAGCCTTAGATCCATGTGAAAAACAAGCATTCACACAAAAAAGTGTCGTATCATTGAGGAAAAATCCACATTAGAGTTGTAATTTATGGATATTAAGTTAAATATAAAGTCACAGACATCATATACTACATCAATTTAAAATATCATTTAAACAAACACATCTTTCAAATTTATCCATTTCTCTAAAATAGTCCCAAGCAACAAGTCTTTGGATTCATTGAAAGTAAATAATCCAAACTTGAACCCATTTATTTAAGAGGCCAAGAGCAGCTGACATCAGGAACCTCAATTGCCACCACCTGAAAGTCAACAAATATGGGTGATTTGGTTCTTGCTTTTACCTTTTTTCCACTTTTCTGCTCGACTGAGAACCCCAAAGATGCAGCTTTACAACAGGAAGGAAACCCAACCAAATTCCAGGAAGGCCCATCAGATGAGACAAAGCCTCAGTTTGTCACATGAATGTGCCTGAAAACCTCAGGGATGGTTCAACAATTATTCCATATTCACTTACTTCAAAGTCTCTTCCAGTTTCCGGATTTTCTTCTGAGCATCCCCCTCTCTTTATCCAGATCGTTCTGAATGACATTAATCTGCCATTTGAAAGAAAAAAAACAGCCATATTTTAGCTAAAACAACGCCACAGGTTCAGAAGAAATAAATGTTATTTTTGATTCTAAAAACTATTTGCGTATTTCTTTTGCACTGATGCAGAGATTCCTAAAATAATGTAAAATGCTAAAGGAGAGATTAACAGAGAGATGAAGTATGAGCCAATAGAGCTACTTTTCTTCTCACAGTGAATATTATTCTCTACAGTAAAGAAATATCAGTAATTACAGAAAAAAAAAGAACTACATTTTCTTTAGGTAAGTACAGAAAAGCACACAGAGATCTACCTAAAACAGTGCCATGTATTTAATCTCTAGGGTGCAGGGCTCCTACTTACCAGCTTGTGAACACCCAAAGCCAATCACTTCTTATCAATTCTTACAACAATAAAAGCAACAAATGTAAATATCTTACATAAACATCCTAAAGAATAACAGTAATAAAACAAGCAATAATAACAATAATGATGATGATAATAATACTCAAAGAACAGGTACAAGAATCTTTGAGTTTGGTAACCTCCCAGGAGTGGTGCAAACCATGAGTTGTCATGATATCTTCTGCCAAAGGCAGATGAAGAACAAGAAGTTTGTATTGCTTTAGGATTGCTCAAGGAACAAGATGAGAAGCACAGGAAATCCTTTATTCACTTGCAGTCATTTGTAATATTGCATGCTTTTTAAGTCACCACAATAAAGAAAAACGTGTTCTAATAAATGTATAGTGCAAGGAAAAAACAAATTCAGAGGTTCTCTGCTGTGAGCAGTTCCTTGTGGGTGTTCACTCCAGGATGGTCTGAACACTTAGTTGTGTTCCAAGAGCCCCCAAACCCACGGGCTGTCTATCAGAGCAAAGAAGGTATTGCCAAACCTGGTAAATTCTATATATTTAACAGCTGGCTCGGGAATGGCTCTCAGGAATAATCTGTCACTGCTCCTATGCTGAGCTGAATGTTTGGAAAACAAGCAGTGGATTATTTATAAAAAGCAGGTGTTCCCTTGGCTTGTAAAGCCATTTAGTCTAACTGGTTCCTGATTCAGCAGATAAGCACCTTTAATCAAACAGTGACATTTAGGGTTACTACCTATTATTTGTTTGATGTTTAAGTATCCTCACAGCAACAGCCACTGTAGACTCATAAAGATTATTAGATAATGGGTAGGTTTTCAAGTGAACAGATTGCACCAGAGACTTCATGATTCCTTTACTTGAAGGCAAGTTTGTTTTAGTATTTTATGGGCCAATCTATCCTGTTTTATGGATTTATATCCATAGATAATTCACATGTATTTTTCTTCTCCTCCTTCCTCAAAGATTCGAGTTTGAGAACACGATTACATCAGGATTTATGAACAGGCAAACTGCCTGTCAAGTTATTTATAAAAATAAAAGGTTCCTCATTTACAGAGTTGCAGCTCCTCTTCTCTTTTCCTGAGATCCAACCTATCCCTGCCCTGCCCCAGCTTCATACCCTACCTGGCACATGGAAACATTACCAGACATATTTAATCTGTACTTATCTGCAGAGGAAGTGATGTACTGCTATAAACCAGAGTGATGTACTGCAATAAATCAATGCCCACTTTACCTCAATAACCACGAGATACCCAAATTATGCCAATAAATTTTTATTTTGACCTGCAATATTACTCCAATACTGGATTTTTCTTGAGTTCAACATTCATAAAAAAACCCATGACTTGACTGAAGAGACAAACGTAGGCAAGGTTTAAACCAAAGCAGATCCTGGAACCAAAAAAGGGGGTTGACTTCAAATCAGCAGAAGGGACTGACTCAAACCAAAACCCCACTACAATTCATGTCACAACTGCTATTACCAAGTGACAAGTAGCTGGGATCACAATCCATTATTTCATGTTATAAATTCGCCACATTTGGAAGTGACATGTTTGAGTAACACATCCTTTCAATTAAACAGGCATCTAAGCACCCTCTGACTGAACACGAGTTGCACACATAATGTCACTAAAATTGAAGTTTAATTTGAAACCTACTGATGTTTAAAGCCTAAAAGAGCAGACAGCACTGGCAAAGTGCGTTAAGATGAAGAGGTTTTTGATGAAAATTACATTTTATTTGCTTTAAGTTTCTGATGTAAAAACAATGCATGTTGACAATATATAGAGAACACATGGAGAAGGATGGAATAGAGATATACTGGGAGAAGAAAGTATGGAAGAACATCTGAACACTGACAAGAGGCCAAGTTTCATTCAGTTCATTATCTTTTCTCTAACAGCAGTTGGCACCAGCTGCCACCAAAGGCAGTGTAAAATAACAGGACAGGTTTCCAGGGGCAATTCTTTGGGAATGCCTTCCCAGCCTGAATCACTGGGCAGATGGTTCCTAGAATTAGAGGTGGTATCTCTGTACTTAAATAGCTGTCCTTAAAATCTTCCTTGAATTTGTCACATTTTTTTCCAAACCTTGTGAAACGCTTGGATTCCAAATTTTACTACTTTGAGGGTCTCAGAATTTAAACTTTTAACTTCTCTACAGACCAAAAATTGGCAGTGTGCACAGGATGGTTCATTTTCCTGCCAACATTACCTGCTTCTCATACACACTCTCCCAGTGAAGTTTGTCCTGCTGAACCTTGTATTCTTGATCCTGCAAAAGAAGAGATGTGTATTCTAAATAATCCAACCACATTTTTCTTCGATTTCAAAGCAGTCAAACACACACATTTACTATTACATAGAACAGCCCACTAAAATTAAAAATCCACTTGATATCATCATTAAAAAATTCTCTGACATACAAAGAAAATTCAACCAACAGCAAACAACAAAACTATCTCAAATTCAAGACTTTCATGTTTTCTAAAGAGAAACAGCAACTTGTTTTCCTGAGCTATTAAAATGCCATTCTGTACTATATCAACTGTGAAATGAAAGGCATTGGGAGGAGAAGTAGATGCCAAAACTCCAACAAGACTGATACATGATACAGATGTGGAACTCATTATCCTCAGATAGGAGGATTAATTTAAATGCCTACAGGAGGGCAGAATATTGAACTGAACTGTTAAAGAGTGACAAAATTGAAAACAATTTGGGAACTTACTTTTAAAGTGTTTACAGTTTATGATAAAAAGAAAAAGACATTCATCATTCTTTGTCGTGTTTCTCTGTAATCCACCAATACACAATTCAACTGTTTTATTTAACATGTGCATTACAAGAAACACTCAAAAGATGTCTGTGAAAATTCTGCCCTTACCTCTTTCAGTCCCACTTTTAAATCAACCTCTAAGCAAAAGGTAATATTTCATATATTTCTATTAATAAAATACAGACAAGCAGGTCATGTTTAAATATAAGTGCATTTTAGGATGGTTATTGAAACATTTAAATCACAAAAAAGAAAAAGGAGACAGGGTTGGTCACCCTTTAGCAAAGTCAGGGCTCACCCTCAGCTGTTGCTGCCTTTGGTGTTCTGATTCTTGCAACTGTTGCTTTAACTGAGTCACACTCCTCCGTAATTCCTCAATCACATCAGATGCCTGCAGGGATTTAACAGAAAAAGGGATTTTGGGGTTGCACTCCTCATTAGCTCTTCAGTTTCATCTTTTGCATCTTTAAATTTGATTTCTCAAAGCTGCCCAAAATTGGGAAAAAAATTATCAACTTGGGGGAAAAAAAACCAACAAACACCTGTCTGAGTTTACAGCTCGGGATACCTCACTTTGGGCCCTCTGGTGAACTTAGAAGTGTGTGTTGAAATCCTCTGGCATCCAGAATTTTAACAGAACAAGCCAGATCCGGGTATTAATTGCATCTCATCTGAATCAGCTGCGGAATTTTCAGTCAAATTTGGGAATGAGAAATTAAACTTCAACTCTATTTGAACTTGCACACGAGTAACTCAGAGAACTGAACAGGTCCTCATATTTATACGTAAGCATTATATTTATATTGAGGAGACCGCTTAAAAAATGAGCCACATTTTCCTGCCTATCATACCTTAGCTGCAGAGAGAGCTTGTTCCTGCTTTATGAGATCTCTATCGACATCAAATTTACTTTGTAGTCGCTGGATGTTCTCCTTGTACTCCTGCATAATGTGGTCCTTGTCTTTCTGTAGCAAGTTGTACCTACAAGGAGGAAGCAAACAGAATATGGAAATTGCTTTCATATTTTGGCATTTTTCCTGCTCGATATCAACTCTGCAGATCCTGCACTGCCTGCCTGTGCCACTGCCCTTGTCACACAACCAGCTGCTTATAAATAATGGAAAGACAACACCCTCCTCAGGATGGTTGGGTGGGTCAGTCCAAAAGGAGCTGGACATCAATTAATATGTTTTCATGGAAGTTTTTTAATGTCAAATAACATTCACAGCGCTCTTGGAGCAAAATGAATAATGTTTGCTCTCGGGAATTCCACGTTCTTCAGTGTTAAAACTGGCAAGTGTTATTTAAAATTTATTATTTATTTATTTATTACCTTGCTTTGAGCTCCTGAAGTTCGGAGCACAAGTCCTCGTAACGCTGCTCTGCTTCAATCTTCTCCTGAGACAGTTTTTGATGCAGTAAATGACTATTTTCAGCCTCCACGGTCAACTGCTGGACACGAGCCCCCAGTTTTTGCACAGTCTCGTTCTGAAAGAACAGGTCACGTTGAGGAAACCCAGAATAAATGAGGGAATAGTCCTGTTGTTTTTCAGTAGCCTGGAGCAACAAGGTTCTTTGGTGATCCAGAGGCACAAGGGTTACAATAGCAAAGCTGTCATCAATCATGACAGGAAATTCTGGGTTGTGCACAAAACATAAATAAATCTTCAAAATATGGATGTCTATCCCCCCCTCAAAGTAACATGTCTTCCTCCCTTAAGCAAAACAGCAAATGCAACTGATTTTTAAATTGAAAATCTTTTAAAATGGAAGAGAAGACATATTTATATGGAAAACTGTAATGCATGATAACACACATAAAGGATTTTTAGACCTTCCATTAATCTAATTACAGTGACTTCCTTTCAATAAATCCCACCTATTAAAAGCTGCACCTTTTTCCTAGAACTTCACCTCCTAATGTAAACAAATTTAAAAAGGAGCAGAATAAGAACAGGCAGGTAGCATTGAGACTACTCTGCCCCTTCCCATTCTTCCCTAAATTCATGGTAACAGGCACGGAAATGAGAGGACTCCTCAGGAGGCTGGAGTCAGAAAATAAAACTCAGTTGTCCCTTCAGGATGTGCAGATCATGGTTAATTTTATACTAACAAAGGCCTGAAGATGAGGGAAACGGAACAGAATTTTCACCCACAGTTAAAGCAAAATAAAAAGCCAAACATCAGCCACCTGCAGCCACTGCCCCAACTGGCACTGACTGTGACGTGAGCCTGGAGCAAAGCCAGAACCTCACACAGGCACAAGGGTCACCTGGATGGTCACCTGAGCTTAAAATATTCCCTGACCACAGAAGAGCAAAGTTCTCCATCAATGCAAAGCCAGATGCACAGGAATGTTTGGGGTTTTTTTTCTGGTGGGGGGAAAAGGAGTGTTTGGTTTGGTCTTTTTGTCGTTGTTTTGGAGTTTTCTGTTTGTTTGGTTTTCTTTTTTTTTCCTTTTTAAAGGAAAAAAAATAAGAGTCCTGGCATATCACCAGATATCATAACTCCTCCCTGGCCCTGTGGCCCTCAGGGAAGTTGATATTTGTGCACAAACCCCTCCTTATGAGCTCTGTGGCATTAGTTCAACTGTTCAGCCCATTCCTCTCTCTAACAGCACTGGCATTCCTGACAACATGAAACTCTGAACAAGGAAACTCTGAAATACCAACCGAAAAAAAAAAAAAAAAAAAAAGAAAAAATAAAATCAGGAGACAGAAAGAAAGAGAGAGAGAAAAAAAAGAAAACTAATTTCCAGTGACAGTCTAGTCTTTCATCTTAAGCCCTGCCTTGAACTCTACCTTGTTTAATTATTAAATCAGAAGCTGCTCAGCAAGATCTGTCTAGTTTTGATGGTTCTTAAATTCAATCTTGCTGACAGACTGTGTCCATTTTTCTCTGTATTTACTGTTACCTATGACATGATCTGAATGTTAATTTTTAAATTCAACATTCATTAATAAAGGAATAAATTTTGTTTGACATTGTCTTTTCACTCACTCAATTTTCTTCATGCCTCATCCTGATAAAAAGTACAGGATGCTTTTTTGAGGTTACTAGTCAATTTTTAGTTTTTTGCATCATTTATATAACAGCTCAAAATCCACATTATACCTTATTACATGTTTATAATTATTCTAGAAAGGAAATGCAATACATTAGAATAATCATTATTTCAAAGTTCTTTTTATGTGATCTTTAATCTAACAAGCATTTGCTCATTCAAAGAGAAGGTGGGTAAGGAAAGAGTCACATGTATCTATGAAAACAGATCTACTACATAAATCCTTTTTTATAGTCTACAGACCTACAGAAACAAGAGTTCTGCAAACCTGAACCAAAACCAGTGAGAAATGGTACAGTCAGTCCTTCATTACAAATATATTTCTCTGTAACACTGATTGAAGGGATGTACTTTGATTAATTTTATCTGGGGGAAAACAATCCTTGGCTGGATTGGCTGCAAGGACAGTGTCCTCTCAAAAGGACAGAGTAACTGCACTGCAGCATCAAAAATAAGTATGTACACAAATCATAGAATCATGGAATGGTTTGGGATGGAAGGCACCTTAAAGGGACCTTAAAGATCATCTGATTCCAACCCCTGCCATGGGCAGGGATACCTTCCACTGTCCCCAGCTGCTCCATCCTGGCCTTGAGCACTTCCAGTCCACTTGAACACAAACCCATGAGGTTTGAATGTTGGAAAGGACACTTTCCACTGTGAGATGTTCACAGCAGAACTCACAGTGGACTGTGTCTGTTGCAAATACTCCTCCTTCATTTTGTGGAGCCGGGCGTTGGTTTCCTCCAGCAGTTCCTTCATGTCCTCCGTGTGCTTCTTCTGCAGGTTGAACTTCTCCTTCTCCATCTCAGCCACAGTCTCGTGCAGCTGCATCAGAAAAACAGCACAGAATAATGAATGGCATCTAAAACTAGCATTCCTAAATATTAGATTATTGTGGAATATAAGTAGAACAATTGGAAAATCCAGGTGGTCACATTTCTGTCCTTTATAACAAGACTAGAAAGTTTTCTCACTAAATAGGTCTGCTATGACCCTACAAAGCTGTGAGAAATGTAAGCAAGTCATTTAGAAGTGTATAGAGGGCATAACAATCCATACAGAATGCTAAGAGACATACTTTTGCCATTCTCTAATGTTCTAGTGGAATGAGATGATCTTTAAGGCCCCTTCCAAACCAAACCACTCTGGATTCTACAAGAAAAGCCCATTTAACACTGAAGCCTCGAGGTCTTCAGCACAAAGGACAAGATTTATGATTTATCTCTTAGAAGGCAAGAATTAAACCCAGCATCATTTCCAGATGCAGGGCTGTGAAAAAATTAAATTACACAGCATTCTTCAGCTCTAAAGGGAGGTGGGTCTGCCCTTTTTGTGACCCTCCCTCTCGAGTGGGGGAAGCCAGACAAATCCTGACAATAATCTGGACAAAGGTGATGCTGTCTCACAATAAACACGCTTTTCCCCCTGCTTTGCTGCTGCCTTGAGTTTAACAATAAATAAAAATACGTGGGAGAACTCATGACCCATTGCAAAAACAAGAGTTCAAAGGAATCACCGTGGCAGCAGGTAGCAGCAGGTTTACCCAGATTAAAATTCCATGTCAGGTCAACCAGAAATAAACACTTCCCTAATACATCCAGAGACTTGCCAGGAGGCCAGATGAACCCCAGGCACAGGGTGACCAGCTGGGTGGGTGTGGGCGTGCAGGCATCAGCAAAAAGAGGCTTAATTACTCCAGAAAAAAAAAAATAAATAAAAATTGGCATTAAAAACATCTCTCAAAGTAACAGATTCCTTATATTTATTTTGCTGAGTGACAAAATGCATTACATCAGATAAACACTGCAGGAATCTGTCAAAAAGCAAGTACTGTTCATTACCCTTTTCTCCCACTCATTGTTCAGGGAGTCATTGCTTTGCTCACACATCTTCTTCAGCTCCTCAATCTGCTGCTCTTTGGCTTCTCTGACAACTTGTGACTCACGAACAACGGTCTGAACTGTTAAAAGTGGGAAAATAAACAACCATTCAAGAGGTACCTTTGGGATTGTTCAGTGCTGGCAACAACCAGTTTACGTCAGCTTTCCAATTGACCCGACTTTCTGATGGTTTTTTGGCTCTTAAATACTTAATGCATGAAATGCTTTAAAATTTAGCACTTTGCTTCTGTGCACACTACAATATTACAAGGTGCTCTCTGTTTTCTGCTTTGTTTACAGGCTATTTCAGAGTGAGTTTGCCTTCCTGAAGGAGTAAATATACATCAGCAAAATTCCTTATAGCCTAAAAAAAAAAAAATAGGCTGATTTCATGAGCATCCTTAGGTGAAAAGGTTCTTGTGAAGACTGAATGCTAAATATATAGAAGAAAATTAAGTTCCCCAAGTGATTGCATTGAGAATTCACAGTCTGACAGACTCAGTGGAAAACAAAGCAGGTATATATTCATTTTTCAGAAGAGACTCAGGATTTTCACTTTCTGGCAAAAGTGGGGGCAACTCAAAACACAACCTGTTCCAGCCAAGAGCAACCACCAACCCACTGAGAGAGGCACCAGATTCCCTGTTGGACAAATTACTTTCCCAAGGAGCAGGAAACAATATACATGGAACACTCTCCCTTTTTGTACATAGATTACCAAACTTCTGTATTATTTTACATTGTGGTTTAGTCCATAGTGTAAAAGGACTCCAAGGAATTCTAAAAGAAACTAACACTGAAAAACTGCTGACAAGCCACACTCAGGCCAAGTTTTGTCCTTATGACATATTCAAGACTACTCATGTTTGAAATCTCTTGCCGCAATAGTTTTAAAAATAACCCACTGTGGTTTGATTAAAATGTACTGAATGCATAAAGAAATTAACTCTGGGCCAGAGATTCCAAAAAGTTTGAAGTAAGTGGTCAAAATACTTCAGCACCATCAAAGAAAACTTTTTTGGTGACGCTCATAAAACCTGTGTTAAGTATAAAAAGACCACACGCCTCCTGAATACGTGGGTTGGAAACAGCAAAGGCAACTGGACAAGCCTCTCAAAATCTAAAGGAAAACATTAAGTGAAGACCTGCAAGTGAAGAAGAAAGGGATGTCTGAAGGAGGAACACAAGCCCACAGCCTCAACAGAGTGCAGTGCAATACCACCACACAGAAAACAACCAGAAAGACAGAAATCACCTTTTTTCTCCAGTCTTCTGATCTCCTCCTCAGCTTCTTTTTGTTTCTTTTTGTGGGCGTACTTCAACATCTCTATCTCATCATTCTTTCTATCCAAAATCTGCAGGGACAATTTAAAATACTTTCACAAAAGTTCAGAAACATCAAAACTACAGCCAGTGCACAAGACAATACACCCTGATCTCTGTCCAAGGCACTGCCTTCAAGAAGTGTTCGGGTTGTGCAGGACTAAGAGATTAAATCTAAGCCATTTTTCACAGCTCAGACTGCCAAGTCATAAACAAAGGACTGTTGTAGATAAACACAGGTAGAAATAGATTATAAAGGAGTTTCATGTTTCAAGATGGGTCTTTTTGTTCCCTTTTAAACCTGGGCAAAGCCAGCGTTGCTCTTGTTGAGTGTGCAAGTTTGATGGTGCTACTACTGCAAATAGAAAAGATCGGTTTCCCTTTTTGTGTTTAAGTTGCCCCATACTATTTCAGAGCACCTAAAAGTCTCAGCAGGTTGAAGAAATATTGAAGTAAATTGGTCAACTTGATTACACTCTTCTGTACTTCAGCAATTGCAACTCCTTGCAGGGATTCCAAGGAACAATGGGTTGGACTAGAGCAAGTATATGAAGGTAACTACACCCCCATTTCTGCACAAGCTCAAAAAACACCTCAAATATTTGCACACTTTGAGATAGTATTTTAATTTAAACTTTGTGTTTAAGATAAAGATTAAAGTCTCAGAAATTTTATAACAGTGCCCCAAATCTCTTATCCAACAGAAGCTTTCATCTTAAAACAATATTACTCCATCTGCAATAAACGTTTTGCATCTTTAAAGATTAATACGACACTATTTAACCTTTTCTAAAATATCCAACGTTATTAAACAACTTCAAAAGACGGAATTCTAACATCAGTTAGAGGGGGCTGACAACTCAAGGGGATGAGAAAGCATTTAAACTGTTCCTTATTCTCACAAAGCCGCTTCCTTTCGGCTCCCAGCTTTGCTCGCCGGTTCTGCTCGCAGGCTCTGAGAGCAGATGAGCCAAACATGCACCTGACCAAATATTAACATCCTTTCAGGAGGCTTTGATGTGTCACAGTGTTGTGTCAACCGACTTCCTCCGAGGCTGTGACTCAGCCTCTAAGAAACAAAGCAGAGGTTCTGAGTAACGCAGAGCTTACAGCGGGATCAGCCGTCGTTTAATTCCCACCACATCCCCGGGGTCAGAGCAATTCCAGGGGCACTCAGGACCTCGCAGGATTTTCCCCCCCACCCGTGTTTAAAATGTGGCATTGAAAGTAACCACGTGGTCTGTGATATCCTTTTTGTGACCCAATGAAGACAACCCCAAAGGAACCCCAAGAGGTAGATCTGGTGTCACGTCGGTGCTGAAGAATTAAGAGCCAGGTCAGGTTTAACAACACAAAAACATAAATAAAGGGCTGTTTAGTGACCAGGTTGTGCTCTAAGACTCTGTGTCAAAAGGGAAACAGGAGAACAAACACTACTCCTGTATGAGCAGGAACACGTGTGATACACTTGGGGATTTTTCTACTGTTACATTTTGCATTTTGTCCATAAAAGTCTTTTTGCTCACATTTTTCTGTAATACAGGTGGCTCTCTCTCTGAAAGAAAAACCATGAGTTTGTGATTTCATCACACAGAAATTGTTGGGCTGGTAAAATAAGTTCTCTTGTTCAAACAAACAAATGGTCTCGTATTTTCCTTTGTTTTCTCCCCATGTTTTCCCTTTCCTAAGTTTATGTTACCATAGAATATTGCACATTCCTATCAGTTCATGCAAACTGTTACCTACAATCTGGCTTTCAATGAACATCAATTGCAATTGTGGAGAACTTAAAGAACAACTGCTAATTATTGATGATAATCATATTCCCTGTTATTAATACATTGGTTTTGGAAGAAAATACAAACACTTGTTACCTTCTGAACATCAGCATGGTGCTTCTGTTGTAGTTTCAGTTTTTCTTCATGGAATTTACCTTCTGTTATTTTCATTTTCCTTTCCAGCTTTAAAAGCAAAACAGAATAGATAGACAATTTAAATAAAGAATGAACTACACTAATGACCTTTTCATAACTTTTAATCTGAGTCTTTAATAAGGCAACGGGAAGTCACAAATAACTGCTGAAAACAATCTATATTCAGCTTCTTAATATTTTCATATCTGTTTGACAAAACTACTACAGAAAGATGTCAACCTAAAGCATTTATTTAGAAAATGAATTTGTAAGATGTTTTAGTTGGCAATAAACACAACTGCTGCTGCCTAAAATAAGCTATAGTCCTTAATTTAAATAAACACTTCAGAATAAAACCTTCAATATTTGTTAATATACCAAGTTTGGTAAACTTGCTTTCATTCAGGCAGGTGTTACATTTACACAAAGAATGTCCTTCAGCCCAGATGCACGTTTGTTTTTGTTTGTTTTCCATTATTCATAGAGTTCACATTATAAACACATTTCCTTTTAAAGGTGATTTATAATGGGATTAAGGACTGGATTGCTAAAATACATTTCCTGTTGTGTTTGTTCAAAGCAGTGCTTGAACCCCCCCGACACAATAATACATTGACAGTTCTTACTCAGAGTCTAAACTTCCAACTCTGAAGTATTTTTAAACCTCTTGCATGTTTTCACAAGGACAGGTATGACAGGAATTTGGTGTGCCTCGTGTCTTCTAAAAACCAAAAGTGACACCTTGAGTTCAGATTTAGGCTATTCCACTCCTACATTTATTAATTTCTCCTGTTCAGAAAGCAGAGGGGACACAGAGGCTTCTCCAGACAGACCCCAATGCCCCTCTCCCATTAGAAAGGGGGAACCAAAACCCCTGGAGTGAGGTACCAACCCCACCAGCAGACAATAAAGTGGCCTTTGGCCAACTTTGTGTCCTTTTGGATGTTCTGGGAGCCCATGGAGCTGAGGTTCCCTCACCTCAGAGCTGGACACTGGATTTCCATCACCATTTTTCAGCTCTCCCCTTTTCATTTAGCTCAGCTAAGAGCCTGGCTGGTAATGCTCTCAACTGACCAACTCCACAGGAATCAAAATGATTTCCATTCCTTTGACTAATCACAAGTTGCCATTCCAGCACGAATCTTTATCTAACACAGACAAACCCTACACACAGCACAAACTATTAATTTCTTTTCTATGGTTCACCTGTGTTACAGATTTATTGTGAATTGAAAACATCGCTGCTATCACGACTTGAAAACGTGAGCGACAAAAATCCAAGTCGACTCAAAAATGCAAGATGCTGCTCTGTAAACACAGAAGACTCCCCAAGAATTGAAAAGAGAAGGAAGACCAGTAATTTCTTTCCATTTCTTGACTCTAAACCTGCTTATTACACCACAGATAAAGAGACCTGTCTCCCAACTATTTGTACACAGCCTTATGCAAATTAATGGGGGGAGAAAAAAAAGTTAGATTGACAATTAATCCAAAGAAAATAAATCATATTCTCAGCTGTCAGCCACTTCTTTTATCACCCCAAAATAAGCATCATGATAAAAATGCATGTTCTATTCGTGAAATCTACGCATATGTATATATGAAAAGAAATATATGCATATATCACTCCAACAAAGTGACATTATAGAAGAAAATCTTAGTACCAGGTGATGAATAAGTGTTGATTTAATAAAAAGAGCACAGTAATCCACTTCCAGATAGACAGCATGTGAACATTCCATAAATAAATATGAAGGTCTTGTAAAAACACAAATACCAGAAACTAAACATGAAAGAGACTCCAATCTGCTTGAATTACATTAAAAGCTTATGAATTACTGATGTACAGCTACTGCCCTCACACAGCTACTAAAGCCACACAAACACTTTGCATTTAAAACTCATTAATAAAGTGAGAATGTCTTGGCACGGATGAAAATTAATCCTTGGTGGGTTTCTATCAGCTGAGAGCTGGGCTTGGTTTTATTATTCCATCAACTGAAAGAACACAAAAATAAATCTAAACCTTAAAATTCCATTTGGATTATACAAGGACATGTATGTATTTCCAAGTGCTGGTGATTGTTCTCACAGCCACAGGCTGTTGTTCTCCTGCAGGTTGACAACAGAACTCCCTGTACTTGAAGCTGGTTCCCCCTCTCATTAATCTCCCACTTAGCACCACCTTGCACTGGTTCTCATCAATTTTAGCTCATTAATTTGTTACACCACTTCCACCAGAACGGCCAGCTCTTCAATTTTCACAGATTTTGGGACTTCTTTCCAAAGAGAAGAGCTAACTGCAACCAAACAACAGACATGAAAAATGTGTTCAAGGCACAGAAGTCAGTCCTACTACATGAAGAAAAGGGAGGAGCCCCATGTTAAACTGTTTGAAATTCAGTACTTGATTTGCTCTTGGAGTTTTCAGCTTGTGTTAAGAGCAAAGCTGTATCCGTAATGAAGAACTGGTAAATAAAATAAAATTAAAAATCTCCCACAATATTTAAATTTTCTACTGCTCTGTAATTCCAAGATGCACATATATGTTCATCACAACCCCTGGAAGGGTTAATTTGAGCACATGCTGTAAAAATTGGTTTAAAAATCCTACACTTCTGTGGAAAACTGCTGGAAAAGCCAGAAAACCTGAGGACACCACCAGTGTCCTATAGAAAAGCCTGGAGTACTGGTTTCACTTACAAATGTGCTTTTTGACCCACCCTCTCTGTGAGGCACATTTCCAATCTCACCACATACGAAGATAAAAAAAAATGAAGTCATGTAAACACATTTTAATCAGTGATCTCACAAGGGCCGGGGCGAAGCAAACGGGCTCATCACCACTGGCAGTGAAACATCTCCCCTTCCACTGCAAAGCTTAGGCACGTTATTAAACACTGATTTCGATGGAGGATTATCTGCTCAAATTAAAACCACACCAAGCCCAGGCTGAGCCCGTTTGCAGTTCCCAAATGTCCAACCTCATCTGCTCCGCGCGGCTCCATTTCCTGCCGAGCGGCACTTGGGTGACTCCATGTGCTGCTCCTCCACACGGTGCCCTCTGCACTTCAGCTTGCCTTTGCTGATTAAACTCACATTAAGAAGCAAAATAACCTACAGCAGCACCAAAGACCTTGGTAAGTTTTAGGGAAAATTGAGAAAAACAACTTAGAGAAGCCGTTCCCCTCGTTAGACGCGGTTCAGGGCGCTCGTGCTCGTCGGTGTTTATACCTTTTATCACCAGTTCAGAGGCAGCAGAAAATAGGAGATTTCTGGCATGTTACCATTCAGACAAGGAGAAAAAAACCCAAACAAACAAGTAGATATTTTTTAGCTATAGTTGGGAAGTTTGCAACTATGTATGAAACGCAGCCATTGCTGTTGCCTGAACATCATTCCTTTGGATTTCTGTCATTGTTTATCCTCCTCACAAAGAGTATGAGGCAATTAAACCCTAAGGCCATGTAAACAATACTGATGTCAAACATCTGTGCTGTCCCTGTTATTTAAAGCCATGGAGGGTGGTAGCAGCAGAACTGCTTTCATGTGCCTCATCACACTTTCTTCCTCATTCAAAAAAAAAAACAACTAAAATCAAAAACACCACCCAAACCAGTAAATAGTCACCTGAAAAACGATTTTTCATCCTATCACTGCCCTTTCATAGCACAGGTTAGGTGTCAGGAAAATTTAATTAACAGCTGTCAAATTTAAACTGATGGAGTCCAACCTGCAGCTGCCATAAATCTTCCAGGGAGGTGGGGGGGTGGGGGAGGTGATCTCCCCATTTTCATGACAAACATTCATCTTGCCCCCATTTACAGAAATTTGTCGAAATATTTAAATACCTGATTTAAGAGCAACTCAATGGGCAGGTTAACAATGTTAATCAGGGATAGCTTTGAACTCCTGCCCACTGCTCACTCGTCTTCATTACAGGGCTCACCCTCAGGCCAGAGGTGGCATCTTGGAGCTTTAACATCCACCAGAGATTTTTTTTTGGGGGGGGAGGGTTATTTGACAAAACAGTACTTGTTGCTTTTTTTTTCTAAGCCTATGAATATATGGGGGAGGGAGGGAGGAAGCGAGGAAGGGGGAGAAGGATGTAAACAATAACTGAGAACTTCAAAGTAAGAACTAACAATGTAGAACAATGACTTGTGTATATCTTACAGTGCACGACAAAACTTATTTGTCTTGGTGTTGTGCAGCTGCTGAAAGAAATCAGTGCACAGCACAAAGCTTTGATATTTTCATAGAAGAGAAAGGTTTCTTAACAAAAACATCAACAAACAACTCCAACTTTCTACTGAATCCTGTTTACTCAATTTTCACATGCAGGGTTAAAACAATAAATATTGATAATTTATACAGTGTTTTAAACCATCCAGGAAGGCCAAGGCAGGAGAGACTGTACTTGCAAAACAGTCAAGATTTATTATAAAGACATGCTGACTTCAGACTAAAGTAATTTGGAACAGTGTATCTCACATCATCATTAACAAGCTGTCTCTCCTCGTTGTGTTATTTCTGTATCATATTGTAGCCTCAAAAATTTTTATGATTAGCTTTGAGATATATTAATACTTTCCACATTTTACAGCGATTTAAGAGCCAGAATAACCACCTAAATCTTGAAAAGAAAATCACTGGTGTGAAAAAGAAAAAAATACTTCACAATAACTTATTTGAATAGAAATTTCTACAGCAAATGTAGATTTTAATCATATCAGAACTAATCTTCTGGTTTCAAATGGAACTGCTGAAAAGCTTGTGGAGTTTACAGGATGTGGGCAAAATACCATTCACTTCCAATTTCAAATAAATAAATTTATGACTACATTTTGAAACAGCACATCATAAACCAACAGAATCGCTACCCAAATTCTGCACTGAACATCATCAATATTTTTACCCAGTTCAATGCCCAAGGTGAAACAAATGGCTTGTAAAGTCTCTGTTTCAAAGAGCTCAGGATAAACCAGAGATGGCCTGAAAGAAAAGCAGCATCAAACAAGTGGAACAGCCAGAAATTAGAATGCAAA